CTCACATTACAGAGCATTTGATGATGAGCAACAACTGGATTTGCTAAACAAGGACTGATGAGTTTCTTCTGCATTTTTAATAGATTACATTAACAGTGTTTAAGGAACATGGCACACCTATAACTTTACCTATAACTTCATTCACAATATGAACTGTTTCCAAGGTTTCTCTCTCATGTGCATGATGAACTTGAGCCATCATTAAAGCCAGTCAGCCAACGCGACAATCAACCTTCCTTCGAAACAGAAGATATCTTTAGTAGAGTGAAACCATTAATATGTAGTTGCTAGAATGATGGAAGCATTAAAGATGCCTAAACCAGGTCCTGCGGACCAGATCCACAGCTAGAGTCAGCAGTACTCCATCATTTTGATTGAGTTAAACTACCTGGTCCTATATCTGTAGGTCAAAGATTAACACAACACTGTGACATAGTTTAAATAAAGGATTTTTAGATCGTGTCTGGTAAAAGGATGTTTTGCAACTGAAAAGTGTTATGTTTTACACTTTAAAAAAACAAAAGTAAAAACAAGGTATAATTTTAGATCTCTTTCTCCGCTGAATTCAGTCCTTAACTGAAAAGGTTATTTTTACTATACCAAATCATTTAAGCTGACAGTGGAGATTTCCATATTCTAAAGGCTTAACAGAAACAGTTTTATTTGTCAAAATAAATGTCATCTTACTACATTACTCCAGATCACTAGGTATATAATGTATAGCAAGGTAACAACAGTATAACATATATCATGATACACAGCATATAATGAAAAAAGAACTCCTTGCCATAATCAGGAGTGAGTTCCCCTACGTCTGTGTGTTAAGTATTGGATTGTAGGTTTAGCAAGCCTGGAATGAAAACAGAAAGATTTTAAAGAGTGTATGGGCCTGATTCTCATCCTGTTGTATCCAGAAGTAACTCCACTGACTAATGAAAATATACCCTTGAGAAATTTGGCTCCAGAGGGCCTGATTCTGAAGTACAACTGGTTTGTTTGTTTGCTTTGGCAAATTATTTCTCTGCAGAAAAATGTAGTTTCAGGGCAGTCAAAAGTGTTCATTAATTTGGGTCGAATTCAGAGATTTGTTCTGAGCCAAGAAAAATTTCAAAATGTCACAAAGAACTGTTTGTTTTTGGGTGTGAGATTCCAGTTCAAAACCAAGAAAAGGATTTTCTTTTACAGCCCAGTGGCTAAAGTATGTCCTGGGAAGATTTTCTTGCAGACTCGTTTGTGGCATTGACTAGAACCAGGATAGCCTTCACTTCAGCTGAATGTCCAAACCACCAAGCTATACAGTTGTTCCCATTCCTTTACTGTCCCAATTAATATTTAATTTTTTAGACAAGTGGCTGTGACACTGTCTTAAGAGTGCAAATCTAAGTCCCTCCCGCTGAATCAGTCAGATTTCCCACATCTTGGTTGAGTGCCTTAACCATGGATCTATAACAGGGGTGGGCAATTGTTTTGGGCAGAGGGCCACTTACTGAGTTTTGGTAAGCCATCGAGGGCCACATGACAGGCAGCCCAGGTCAGATAAATATAAATTTGCTAATTTTTTTAGGGGCCCCGCGGGCCAGATAGAATGGCTTGGTGGGGCACATCTGGCCCCCAGGCCGCATTTTGCCCACCCCTGATCTATAAGCTATAAGGCACATCCTCCATTTTGTAAATGGCAACTAAATCCCCTTGTGAAGCTAGCCTTTAATTTCCAGAGAAAATGCTTTTAATAAAATAACATTGCCCCACAAAATGTTTAAACAAATGTAAAAAACGTTTAACCCAAAACAGTGTTTCACCCAAAACAAATCATTTCTGTTGTACTGAAAAACTTTTTTTCATTTGGGGTTGACCTGAACTAAAATAATTTTCAATTTCCCCTCCTCCCCATTTAGCTCCCAAATGAGAAATAAATTATTTGCATAGCTGTAGCTGTAACTGGTGCACAATAATTGTTGAGAACTTCATGACGGACTCTTGAACTATGACAACAACTAGTCAGAGAACAGCTCAAAGCCCTTTCATGACAATAGTACCACGTTATAATCTTCAGTAGCAACAAAGAAACAGTCCAAAGCTACAGTAATACTAATCCATAACCAGAGCTGTTGAGAAGTACCCAGTTCACATCAAGCAATGAAGAAGGCCAGATAACAATCTAAGGGAGGGAGAATTACACCTTTGAAAAATTGCCCACCAACTATTTAGCCTCAGAAGCTATAGACTTCCCCCATGCTCCAATTCATTAGTACATCTCTATTCAACAATGCATTTAAACATATGCTTGATTCTCATGTGCTTAAATGCTTTGCTGAACTGATGTCACAATGCATAATTTGCATTTTTGCTTGAAATACATATATTCATGTAGTCAGACTCAAGCAGACAAACCCTGGTACCCAAACGAGACCCTGTGAAGTCAGTGTGGCCCAAGACAGATGCAATGACCCCTATGCAAGCTCTGGTCCTGCAATCAAAATTAAGTCATAATAATATTAAAACAGGGAAGGAAAACACAATGCAAAAATGGGAACATTACATAGACTTTCTAAAATATTGAAGACAAGCGGCTTGTAGCTCTAAAATAGGTGGATATGCCACATCAAAAAATGGTTTTATTTTGAATCTGTATTTTTATCTTTTCATAAATGTCTTGTACCTTTATTCCTGGAAATGTAATACAAATCCAAAGAGGAAAGCACTACAACACACCGGAACTCTGCCCCATGAAAGGATTAAGAGAATTCTTTCCATCCTACCAGGCTTTTCAGTACACTGTGAGAACTTTTACAGTCCCTAATGCAATTTGGATGGCATATTCTATGTTTAAAGATCCATTTAGATATGTAATTACTCTTATAGATCCACCATCTAGCTGGTCTAGTGAGGAGCCAAAATTTGTCCTCAGATGCACAAGCACAACTTATTTAATTCAGCATGGCTTTCATGAGCTTGTCTAAGGGCAGAATTTGATCATAGAGCAGTGATTCTCAACCAGGGTGACATGAAGTACTATGCAACGTTAGCACTCTTAGGTGGTGAACTTTTTATTCCCCTCCCCCCCAACAATGCAATAATTGTAAGCATATTTATCTACAGAATGCCAATTTTTTGCATGCATCTTCCAGGAAGAGACTCCTTTATATAGAGCAAACTAGCTCTTTGTCCTTTCAAAAGTTCTCCTGCTTTAGTAGTGCCTCAGGACACTAGTCTGTCCACACTTGTTTAGCCTCTTCTCAGCTTAGCAGAATCCTTTTTTTTAAAGAAAATTCTGCAGTTTATTCCTAATGTAGCATTATAATTTCACTTTTGTTTTTTGTTGTTTGTGTGCCTGTGTACGGCTACATATATAAACAGCCATAGTACAAAACAGGTTCAGCAATGTCTGGGCCACATAAACCATAAAGTCTAATCCACAACAACCTTCAATAAAACACTGGTTTGTAAGTACAAAAAAACTTACAATAGAATCATTTGCCGGACTAATTTAACCAAAGGACAGGCAACCTGGCAAAGTGTGGGGAGTTCTTAGATCACTACTTTATCACACTGCAAGATAAAATAGAAACTGCACCGTTCATGAAATATAAATATCACTCAAGGCAGAAATCTTCTGATATGAACTACAGGAACTCTTTGGTCAATAATTATTACTACCCTTAAGGAGCCTTAATATTTTCCCAGTGGAGAATCCCACCAATATGCCATTTTTAGCTTCTCTGTTGCTTCCTTTTCCATTCTTCCCCCCTTTCAACTAAAGCATATGCTCAAAAGTAGCGTGCACACCTCATAGTTACAGCATCACCATTGTTGGCGAAAATTAGATAAAAACTATCAGAGCATAAATATCCCAAATTCATCACTCCCCAACCCCAAAGAGTTCTAATAAAACCTTGACACCACACCAATTTGTAACCTGTAAATGCTCTATAAATTGCAGAAAAAAGCAGTACTGTGTAAAACTTAATTTCTAGAGGGAAGGATTAATAAAATGCAGAGGAAGTGGGCAAATGTGCATCACTAATGAAGAGATAGATAAATAGACACACAGTGTTAGATGAACTTTATTAAGGCTGCAATATCAAGCACACAAAAGTTAGAATAAGTCAGAATTAAGGTGGCCTGTGCAAACAACCTTAATTTGTACTCCTTGTGCATCTGTATTTTTTCACAGAACCCATTCTTCATTTAGCCCTGAATGGATGTGATCTGGGTACAAATTGGACTGTATAATAAAGGAGGTTATTGCCTTTAAGATCCCTTCATTTATCACTGAAGTTCAAAAGCAGGTAGTGAACATGTCAGGAAGCAGAAGACCACATCATGGTCAGGTTAGCTAATTGCTGCCTTGGGAACTGGATTTTTTCCCCACCTTAGCCAGAGTTCCTATATGGTGTATTCAAGCCACTTAAACCAACCTGTTTATAGATAGTCACTGTGTGTTCCTCATTTTCTGGGTGCCCAACTTGATATCTTGAGGTCAAAAAATGCGAGCACTGTAAACTACCATTGACATTCACACAACAGGAGATGTGCTTTCAACATAGAAAGTGTCATGTAAAATTAAGAATTCTTTAAAAAAAACAAACAAACCCTGAGACCCCTTAGGAGCTATTTTTGGTGTTTCTCAGGCTGGACTTCTGAAATTAGTGGATGCTTTTGATAACCTTTCTGTTCCTCAGTTCTCCATCTATAAAATGGAAAATCACATCATGGGAGAGTTGTGAAAATAATTAATGCTTGTGAAGTACTGAGATCCAGTAGTGACAAGCACTTCAGAGAAGCCCATGAGAAATTAATAATTCTGTCTTCAGAGTGTATTTTGAATAACATACAGTAAATGTGGCTTGGGGCCACACATTGAACAATGAATGCCTGACTTTACAACCTTAATGTTCTTTCAACATTTTTTCTCTAAAAAAATTTTCCTTAAGTTTTTTAACAAGTAAATTGAAAAAAATGAAATTCTATCACGTGGCATCAAGTGGACAACCACATGG